TCATCCAATCAGCTCTCGTCCCAAAAGGGTAACTAATTATTTTGCATTAAAACAATTCTTAATTAACCTTGTAATCTTGACATTCCAGTACACAGTGGACAATGGGATTAAAAACCTAGAATGTATTCAATAAAAACGATACATTAAAGGAGTTCTATTCCCCGGCAAAAACGACTCTTTTCAAAGTTTAAGTTCAAAACTCTTTGCTAAAGTTTGCTTCGGAGCACCAAACACAACTACACCATCTAAAGGCTCGACCCCACCTGTGAGCAGAGACTCCAAAGACTGGGAGCTCATCTGACTGAGCCACTGAAGAAAGAGCCATGTTAGTTATTATTCAAACCACTGTCTTTGTTATGCCACCCATCCATCTTCTTCCCCTTAATCCATTTCTGGGTTGGAGGACTGCCACCCAAGTCACAGAGCACCAGCCCCTCACTGATCCTCCTGCAGGTGGTGAGCTGCCATAGGCTCACAGACATGGCAGTGGGACATCAGTGGGAGTCGGCGGAGAAGGTCTTATGGTGCTCGAACCCACAACCTCAGGCTCAAAGGCTCTACCAACTGAGCCACTGTCGCCACATCTCTTTGTTGAGCTGCTGTGGCTATTTAGAAGCTTCCTGTGTAAATACTCCTTCTCACACATCTCCTTCACGAGCTGATTATTGTCTCATTACCGAGAAAAAGAGTTCTGTCAATTTCAGAATCAATTTATCTCACTTTTTTTCTTTTGATTAATTGATTATTTGTTTAGCATGCAAATGTGGTGTCTTATCTCAGTTGGACCCATGAAGTGACATCCTGTATAGAGATATATTTATATTCCTGAACAGATATTTACACAATTTTCTTTTGTAATTACTGCTACAATGAATCCTTAAAAATCACATATCTCAGAACATTCTCATGACTGGTCTGCTAAAGATGAATCAATTGCTAGAATAGTTGTTGATCATTTAAAAAACTTGATTAGTTGTGATAATAAATTAATCGTCACAGCTCTACAATTCAATCTTATTCCAGGATTGCTGGGTCCTAGACTAGGCATCCATCCATCCATTTTCTTCCCCTTAATCCATTTCTGGGTCGGGGGGGTGGCAGCCAGAGCTGCACCCAGTCCACAGAGCACCAGCCCCTCACTGATCCTCCTGCAGGTGGTGAGTCCACAGGAGCTGAGATCTTTCAGTGGGAGGTTCAGGCAAAGTGGGGTTAAGTGTCTTGCCCAAGGACACAACGACAGTAGTCATCAGTGGGAGTCGTGAAGTAGGTCTTACGGTGGGATCAAACCCACGACCTTCAGGCTCTAAGGCCAATGCTCTACGAACTGAGCTGTCGCCCCCCTAGACTAGGCAATACAAATTTATTTTTGTATAGCCTAATCCTCAAATTCCGTCACCTTGGCATACATATATTGTCGGTTTGCTAACAACAAGCTGTAGCCGTGGTGTTTGTGTGAACGGAGGGTGTGCGTGTGTGTGTGTGTGCATGTCTGTGTGTGCGTGTCTCTGTGCGTGTATGATGAGGGTCTGCTGGAGTTCACCTGCGCTGACAGCAAACACACACATTTGGAAAAGGCCACAATTAAAGATGCATGATGTCAGCGAGACTATGGCCTGTGATGAGACCATAGACTGATGTGATGAGGGAGTCTGGTGTTTGAAACGGCCTCAGAGATAATGTACTATGAGCTTTAGCTGCATGCTTCTGATTCAATCTAAAAATAGACCTGTTTATTATGAGTCCACAAATAGTGCACCATGCTTGAAATAATGATCATATTTCTTAAGATTTTAGCCATTATGAGGAACATTTTATCAAAAACCATTATAAACATCTCATCTGCTTAAATGCTCTACTTTCAAACTTGTTATGTGAGTGTTGGGAATGTGTCCAGACAAATGACTTACAACACATTTCAGTAACTAACTTTCAAAACACAAACATTGAAGCTATGTAGAAAAATATCTAATAATAGTTCCTGACTCTGAATTCAGATTGGTTCTATCACTTTATATACATGCATGTGTTTTTGGCCTCAGTCACATCTTTAGATCAGCTAAAAAGGCAAAAAGCGAAAAATAGAAAATGTCAAATAGTAAATAGGGTTTATTTATATAGCGCATTTTACAGACCAAGGTCACCCAAAGCGCTTTACAATTGTTCAGAGTTCAGATTATTCCATTCTCCCCACACACAGAAGAGAGACGTCAAACACACTGGCGCATCAGCCCCAATCAACACCATCCATTCACTCATTCATTACATTCATACACATTGTGCATGTTTTTAGTGGTAGGGGAAGCCGGAGCGCCCGGAGGAAACCAACGCAGACACGGGGAGAACATCAGAAAGGCCCTGTTCCGACCGGGATTCGAACCCAGGGACCTTCTTGCTGAGAAGCAAGAGTGCTATCCACCAAAGAATGACAGAAAAATATGTACGAATATTACAGTTTAAGAGCCCAAATTGTGGTAGTTACAAGTATGCAAATCGGACACCGCATTTTTTGGCATCTTAACAAAAGAAGAACCAAATCAGAGTGGGAACAATCAACCCATCTTCCCAGAAAACTACCACAATTTGGGCTCTTAAACTGTAATATTCGTACATATTTTTCTGTTATTCTTTTGTATAGGGGTCACGTGACTACACCGATAAAATGGCCAACATTTCTTAAAATTTCCAAGCAAAAGAGTGTTTTAAAGCTGATTTAGAGACAAGTAAAACTGTTTTAAACCGTAATCATATTTTCAGGTATAGTCCGAAATCCAAATGTTCTAAATGTGTCTTAATAATGTCTAGTCTCGTGACTCCTACAGACAAGCATCATACAAACATATGTACGAATACTACCCTTTCATGGCTGTGAGTAATGCCGTTTTCTGTGAGGATGGGTTGAAAATAATCATATGTGAGATAATGAGCACATTTACAGTCGGAGAGCAGGTCATGTTGAGTGTCTCCCGCTGAACGCTAATTTCCTCAACTCAAGGAAGGGCTTTTCCGACGTTTCATTTCCATTCACGTTGTCAAGGTCCAGGCAAGCGCGGCGTTCCTCCTGAGACCAGGCACATCCATAATCAATGAGCCGAGACTAGGCTGAGGGAGCCGAGGAGACGTCTGTAGTCTGCTTCTAATTCAGGTGCAGGAAATGTGGGCTGGTATAAGCAATAGACGGAACACCAACTGTACATATTAAAGTCCAAACATCCAATTATCCTGTCTATAGGCGTGTACGGGTTTGTCCAGAAATGTAATAGATTTGATAAAGCTGGAGAACCTTTCTGTATTTTCTAAAATCATACATGCGGTTTGTACCAACAGAAAGATTCTCGTAAAAGTAAAATGCTTTGAACAAATCAGACCACAACATGCTGCCTTTATGTTATTAACCAACATGTTATCTGTTGTTTACTTAGAAGAAGCCCTGTAAGTCACTATCTGAAGCTTTGGATGTGAAAACTATAGTGATTGAACTGTTTTGACAGAGAGGAATTAGCTGACAGATTTGATAACAGTTCAATTTGTAGTGGTTTGGAAGTTACTCCAGCTTTACGGAGCTGCTTTATTTTCAATGGTAAAATGCTTCGAGACAGAATTGAAAATGATCGTGAATAAGATGAATTCTAGTTTGGGTCTAAATGTGTTGCAAGAGTGAAACAGAAATAAAAAACTGGTGGCACAGCGGTGCAGGGGTCAGATCCGTCTCCACCGAGAAGGTCCAAGGATCAACTCTGACGTGCCTTCCTGTGCAGAGTCTGCTTCTTCTTCTACCACTAAAACAATGTGCAATGGGACTATAGAGAGTAATAATGAACAGGAAATAATTCCTGTTCATTAAAACAATTTGTCAAGAAATTTGATTTGATTTTGTGAAGATATCAGACCACAACGTCCTTCTAATCTTGTGCATAGTGCGAGAAAATATCCCTGATCGTCACCATTTGACCTTTTGGGCTCAGAGCTAATTGGTCCAAAATACAAATGTTTGAAAACTAGTGATATTTTATACTTTTTGCTGTAAAAACAAGGAAAATACATGTTTTTTTCTACTTTTTGGCTAAAGTTACATACTCTGGGCTTTAATTCCAACAAAAATCCCTAGTAGCAATGTTGTCATCATAGCAGTGAGATATAGTTTAAGAAAAGTGTATAGTTCTTCTGATATAGTTCAATGTGTAAAATCTGAGTTTAGCATTTCTATGGGATTCAAGAAATGTCAAAGTGCGTCTCATTTATGTAATTTCATTTAGTATATGGTACTTGCCCAAATTAATTAGATTTAGAGATTAGATTAGTTAGATTAACCCATTGACGTATTTGGCTGAGACTGTTGATATCTGTGAACTTCTCTCTCTATTTGACTGAAGATTACAGCAGAAAAAAACTAGCAAGATATCAACTTATTTTTGCTGATGAAAGTAGACGGTCCAATCTTTCAGAATCTGGATTCATATTTTACATAGTCACAGCACACAATATTCTGTGGGTTTTGAAAGTCAGTGAAATGATCAAAAACGGCTGGCAGTCAGTGAGTTCATGTCTAATACATTTGGCAACTCGAGTTTGCATCAGGGCTGTATTTATCTATTATTCTTTTTCATTCGTTCATTTTCAACCTCTCTATCGTTCTGATAATAGTAAAGTACAGCCTCATTAGATTATTCTTTCGATTAATCAATGAGTTCCGAAAGCTCAGTGAATCAGTGAATACACATTGGGTTGTTTGATTAGAATACTTTGTAAACACATTTTCACTTATCTGGTTCATAAAACATGTTCAGAATGTTTAAATCTTTGTAGGTTCAAAATGTGCTTCATTTAATTGACAACTATCACAAAAATAAAACATGTGTGCGTGTGTGTGTGTGGGTGTGTGTGCGCATCTGTGCGTGTTTGTGTGTGCATGTGCATCTCTGTGTGCGCATCTGTGTGTATCTGTGTGTATCTGTGTGTGTGTGTGTGTGTGTGTGTGTGTGTGTGTGTGTGTGTGTGTGTACCTCCTCCCACTGGTGGATGTAGCGGATGAGCCGGGACAGCCTGAGCAGACGCAGTAGACTCAGGATCTTTGTGAAGCGCACAATCCTGAGAGCACGGGCTGTTTTGTACATCTCAGAGTCCATTCCCCGCTCCACAATCAGGAAAATGTAATCCACGGGGATGGAGGAGACAAAGTCAACCACGAACCAGCTCTTCAGGTATTTCTGCTTGATCTTGTTGGGGTCCAGGATGATCTCAGTGTTCTCTTCAAACACAATTCCCGTCCTGAAGTTCAGGACCAGGTCTATGAGGAAGAAGGTGTCCGAGACAACATTGAAGATGATCCAAGGCGTGGTGGTCTCCTCCTTGAAGAAGGTGATGCCCACAGGGATGATGATGAGGTTCCCCACCATAAACATGAGCATAGAGAAGTCCCAGTAGAACCTAGGGGCGAGGCACAATGTGAATATGAGCACTCGGTCTCTATTAAATATTGTATAGCACAGTTTGTACACAACAAAAATACACGACAATACAAAGCAAATCTAAGTGCTAAACAAAACTAAAAAGAAAACAAGGAACTTTATGTAATATTTCCGTTTCAAGTTACAACCTACATCTATCTCCAGATAATAGATGGACAAGATTTTCTCATTTGGGTTGCCAGTTTGTTAGGTGACATTTAGCTAGTTTTGTCTCTTTCTTTTTTTTATAACAAATTACACAATCAAAAACATTAGCACCACACTTTTATACAAATACAAGCACTGATTTTGTTTGTACCGTTTCTCTCTGAACTCCAACAGGTGGATTGCCTTATTATTCAGTGCCTATAGGAGCTACATGTGTCACAGGCCACAAAAGATGAATTTGAACCTAAAAAAGAAAACCTAAGTGCAGACCAGTACCTTTCATAAACCTAAAGAAACCTTAAATAATGTAAATGTAGAAGTCATTTAAAATACCAGATATACAGTTTCAAGATCATGCTCATGATAAAGCTCATGTGTCTTTGCCAGCTTCAGGGCACAATCACTTCTCCATCTACCCATTTCAGGAAGAAGAGAGCTGACCATGGTCCTGAAATGACTAAGACCCTTGTTCATTTCTTCAGTTTTGAACATGTGTTTAATAACCTACTTTTGCTTGTCCTTAATGGTAGTGGAACTCACCTAAAGTCACTATATGGGTGTATGATCCAGTTCCCCGCAGACTTGACGCGCTCCTGCTCCTTCTCCACCGCTTTCTGGCTCCCAAACATGCGCAGGGAGAACTTGTTGACTCCCGGCTGGAGCATGGAGCTGAACTGGCGCTGCATGTAGGTCTGGTTGTTCTTCGAGTCATCCTCCTCCGATACGATCTCCTCCACTTTGGAGAAAGTGACGGAGTTTCTTGCCTGGCCAGACAAGAGCCCTTTCCCCACGGAGATGGTGGAGAAGGACACTCTGGACTCCTTCTTGTCCAGCCCACTGCTCTTGGCCTCGGAGCCACCGGGCCCCGCGGAGGTGACAGCTCCATCCATACCTGCGCGTCCCTCCTGAGCGTGTTCAGCCTCTGCACCCTCCTGCCTGGAGATGAGAGAGGAGAGGCTGCCTGAACTGGTGGGCTCCCTTCTACAGTCTCCGTTTTTGCTGCATATCATTCCGGTGGTGCGCTCTACTAACGCCGTTGATCTGGAGTGCTCCACATGCTGCCACTGCGTCCGGTGCGTGCGGCCGTGAGCGTGGGACTGTCTGCCACACACCACCGCTCTTGCTGGAGGAGTTTGTGCGCTCCGACCAAAGGCTCCACCCCCAATTCAGCTCACAGGGCGCTCATGCCCGAGAGCTCCTCCTCACCATAGACTGTATATAAATGATCCCTCCTCAGTACGCTCCTGTCCGGTCCTCACCCATCATCCAATCGCTCTTCCATCAGGTTAATGTTACCCCCACCGTGTTTCTGAAATTACACTGAGACAATAGCTCTTGAGGAGGGTGAACTACACCGCCGTGACCCTGTCGGAAGCTCTATTGCACTCAGAAGCCGCATCTGGACCACAGACAAGGGGAGACCTGTTGCTTCATGCAGTTTGTGGTGAAATATCGCCCCCTTGTGGCTACTATCTGCAGATACTTACATTGGCTCAACTGAACTGTGCAGAATCAGCCATTCAAGTTACAATCTTGGAAGGTATTTACGGAGTTTACTTTAATTCAGTAGACCCACATACGTATGTTTTTCTAGTGTCTGCACTTTTTTTACTCATTTAAAAAAAAGAAAACACAAACCTATTCCTTACTTTCTACTCCCTACAATTAACACTTTGAGGATGAGGTGACATAAGGGAAAAATGTGACCAATCTACTACTTGTGGTGAGCCAGGCTTCCAAGTTCAGATATCAGCTGGTCGGTATGAAACTTTGACTGTGGAATAACATAGTTTATCAATAATATAGAAAAGAATGCTCTTACTTGAAGCTAGGTTTGCCAACATTTTCATGAATACACTGATTTCTCCCATCAGAATTAAAATAATCAGACCACAACATGCATTCTTCATCTCATTACAAAACATTCTATATTTTGCTTTCTTGTAAGAAGCAAAACTATGCATGCATTTGTGGTTTTAAACAGTAGGTACCCAAACTTTATAATAAAAATAATACATTTTATTTAGAAACACCATTCAAACCCCTAACCCACTGTGCGGCACGGTGGCTGAGTGGTTAGCACTCTCGGCTCTCAGCAAGAAGGTCTGATGGTCCAGTGTGTTCAGGACTCGCTTCCGTCATCACCGTGTGGAATGATTGGAACAATATCTGAACTCTGAACATTGTAAAACCCTTTGGATGACCTTGGTTTGTAAAATGCGCTATATAAATAAACACTAAACACACTACTACTGTACAGGACATTTTAAAAACAGGATCAACAGAATAAAACAGTTGTGCAATATGGAATGTGGGTGCGTGTGTGTTGTGGGCTATTATATACATACAAAAGTTTAAGTTTGTTTCAACAAAAACCCGAGTACAGACTAATAGTACTTTTGCCACCTTTAGTATGGGAGTCATAGTTTATGGATCACACATGGTAACAAAACACATTCTACAACTTTAAAGATGATGGACACACTTTCAATCCACAGCTTTTATTCAGTCTTGTGTTGCACTGATGACTTGTCCCATTGTCACAATGGAGCATACAACGTTATACAAACTGCAGTCCATTATTTTACATTAGTATTAGTCTGTAGTATGGTAACATCCAATCACAAAACTACTCTGGTTAAATGTAACTTGTGGCTTTCTGCATCATCTAGACAGTGAAGGAACAACAATCACACACAAATGTCTCAGTATTAGGTGAAAAGATGTACAGCCGTTTAAACCTCAGTGCGTAGTTTAGTCGTGCGTAAAGGCAAAGGGTTCTGCTCTTTAGCACTTGGTCCTCCGGGAAAGAAAGAAGGTTGAAAATGTTGATCAACAGCTATTTAAAAGAGTTCACAAGAAAATACCTCTTGCATACCTTCAATTATGGCAAAACACAGACAATGAGGTGTTAGCCATTTCTGCATTAAATATAAACTTTAAGTTTTTTTAAAAAGATTTTTTCACACTATTTAAAAGAGAAGCTGTGCGTTAAGGCCAAGTATAACAATCTGAGGGTTTTAAAGGACTTGGGGAAAGATGGCAGTGGTTAGTGATTCCAGATGTATGCAAACATGTGGCAATAGACATTCTACACATCCCCATACAGCACACAGGCAAAAACAGCACTTAGAACTCATGCGATTTTGGCTAAAAAAGGAACCGTGAAAAAAAAAAAAAACAAAAAAAAAAAAAAAATCACTATGGCCCCTGGCTGCACAATTTAGAGTAGATTTGAGGAAAACGAAGCAGATAAAATAAATTTAAATCTCTTAAAACATTGACATCCAAGCACAGAAAGTGGTGTAAAAGAGTGTGCCACACGACTGATGGTTCCTAGAGTCATTCGGACAACTTCATCTGTGGAAGAAACATGTTTTTAAGATAAGTGTTCTATAATTACATTTATTGAAGCTGGGGTTTCTAACTTACAAACCACAAAAATGAAACTATCCATGCAACTAGTTTCTCACAAAATTTTGCTTCCATCACTCATTTTTGACATACAGGTTTTAGATCAGCCTATGAAGTGTCAAACCCCAGATTTAATGCAACTGATAACTGAAGGACATTGGTTCTCAAACGTCCCCAGGATGGTTTGCAGATCTCTATCCTGGCACGGAGGTTTCATTTTAGAAATCAAATTCAATCACTCTATTGTCAATTATTTGATACAAACTGTAAATGAAGGCAATATTAACGGCTTATTAAACGAGCGCGACGTCTGTACAGAGAAATATCAGACCTTAGTCTAGGTCTGATATTTCTCTATGGTACAGACCGAGCAAGCGAAAGGAAAGATATCAAATCTGATACAGATCTGCAGATCAATTGTCATGGTAACGGTCCGAGATGGGAAAATATCAGACCACAAAACAGCCAATCAGAGCGCGCGTACGATCCAAGTCATACAATAAAAAGGAATAATATATTAAAATATACAGCTGTATAACTGCATAGCATTTTTCATTATTATAGCTCAAGTTTCTTCTGCATTGGTGATTTCACATTTCATACATTTTTGAGAGTCTGGTAAGAGGTGAAAGAATAATATTAGAGTTGCCAGGCACAGAATTACAGTGAAGGATCAAAGATTTATTTTAAAACAAACAAACCTCCTCAGTCATTTAGTTGGAGTTTCTTTGCCTCACGCCTTTGTCCTTGTGGTTTGCATTAGAGTTGCTCTTCCTAAAAAACAAAGACCCATGAGATTGGCTACATACAGTCACAGCCTGTTCATTGAGTCGTCTGTAGGGTGTACTCACAGAGGAGCAGCGCCTGAGTCATCATCTGAACAGCAAAAACACAAAACAAGAGTTAATCGTTATGGTGCAGAAAGCCCACAACACTAGAGAAAACAGAACTCTTGAGACATGCTCCGGCCCTCCCCAAGAGATGACAGCAGCAATGTTATAACATGACATCCTCTGCACCACAAGTAAAGGTTATGGTCGGATCAAATGAACTGAAGCATGCCCACCTGCTCCACCCACGTGTCCAGATTGTGTGAAATAAGTAGCAGAAGTTAAAAAAAACATTCATGTATAGAGCGCACCAAACATGACTTCCCTTCAGTATTGAAAAAAAAAAGGGCTCATGCAGTAAAAGCAAAAGCAAATGAAAGCTCCGAACACTGCAGTGGTCCGGTTTATTGCATATCACAGCATGTCAGATCATTACAGCAGGAGTAAAAACACATCTACAAAAAGGCAGAGGCTCCACCATAGACTGTATATTAGGAGTGGACTGACCGAGTGCTGACGTCACCATAGTCTTTGCCGAATGAGGAAGAAGCAGATTAGCTCGTAAGCTAGCTGGAACTGATTTTCTTATACGTTCCAACTGGGTTAGCTTTGCACCGTAACAGGGGCGGACATGTTGCTAAGACGGTTGCTAAGGAAAACTGGATTTTCCCTCATGGATGAAGGTCTCAGATCCTTATGGCTCACATTTAGATTTACAAAGACAATATAAATAATATAAGTTAATTAAACTAGAATTATAAATAGGGGCTGGGGAGTTTAAAAGTCTTAATTTCTTCCCACTCCTTTTCGAGATGACGTTTTGTTAATAGAACAAAACATTTTAATGTTTATTTGTTCTTGTTTTCTTCTATTCTGATGTTTTGTTGCTGTTCTTTGTTCTTATCTGCCATGACTCGAAATAAAGTATTCATTCATTCATTCAATAAAATATGAACACCAGGATCATATAGGGCGGTAAACAATAACAAAATGTGACAAACTGTACTGAGCAAGAGAGTTTTCTTTTCAATTTAATGCAAAGGAAGATTTCTCACCCATCATCTGTACTTCTTAGAAACCTTCCTTTGCATTGACTAATCCCCGTACCACTGAGAGCTTACACAAACTTTTCAATTTAAGTCAACAGGAGTCAGAGCGGGTAGGAGCAAAACTTCCATGAGCACCTCTCTGTAGGGCTTCGCATTGTCCATCTATATACAGTCTATGGTCTCAGCTGGAACTCCAGGACCAACCAGTGAACTTTTCTGGCCTTGGCTGACTGTATGAGCCCTATAACTGTCTCATGCACTATGCTCACGATGCAGAAGGCATGCAGGACAGATCTGAAGCCTGCCACGGCTCAGAGTGAGAGAAGGGGAGAGGAGGGGGCGCTCCGAGATTGGCTTGTGGCTGGGGTTAGCGCCACCAGAGCGAGAGGGGAGTGACAATGCGTTGGGGGGCCGGTGAAAGAGCGGCCGTGGGTCTACATCACGGCTGCCGGAGAGAGGAAGAAGTGGTGACTATGAAAGCAGTCCAGACTCCCATAGCTGCTCCACACGCTCAGTTCAGCTCAACCACTTCAGTCCGACATGCAGTTGTTTGGTCCACTTACCAAAATGCAAAATCAGCAGCAAACAGGTAAAAAAAATAATAGTAAAATCATAAAGAAATAAATGTTCCCATCACAGAACTTTTGCACAAAAATGTACCTCCTGATTTTTTTTACTCAAAAAAGGGGGAAAAGATAATAAAAGCAAATGATTAAGGATTGATATAGAGTGCATGCAGCTTCATACTCCATTAGGCAGTGCATCATCTCAGCAGCTTCACAATGACCCAGTGGGGCTTAACAGCTCAATACACTGTGGCAATTGTCCAAATGTGATGTGGGAAAAGTAATGAGATCCTTTAGAGATATATTTAGCCATGAAGACAACTACTACAAATATCCAGGTGAAACTGAAATTGGAATATTATTCAAAAAGGTGCGTTTTTAAGATATAGACCCATTACATGCAAAGTGACATATGCCAAGGCTTAGTTTGGTATGAATTGTTTATGGTTTACACTTTCAGTTTACACTTCATATGGAGGTGTCACAGAAGTAATCTGAACAAGACTCCAAATTTCACTATTCTGAAAATGCTAGAATATATAAAAATATGTAAACTGTACAAGAGGAAATGTACCGTCAGTGATCTCATCGGGCTTTCTCCTCTTCTCGTAGATGAAGATGATGGTCACCAGGATGATGACCTCGGCCACAATGCCCAGGAAAGGCCAGAGTGCGGCCAGGCGGCTGCGCACGCGCAGGTGAATGCGGTCCAGGCTTATGCCAATGTCGTTGGAGCCGGCGCAGATGTAATCGCCAACGTCAGTCTCCATGTTCAGGCTGTTGATGGTCAGCAGGCTCTTCTCTGGGGTGCTCTTGATCTCATATTTGTCACTGGTGCCGTTAGCAATAGGCTGTAGGAGCAGATTAGAGTCGAATCAACACCTCCAGGTAAACTCAACCCTATACACTTCTACATTAGAAACATGACACATTCTCACAAAACAAGGCTATACAAGAATAAATTGTATTGTATTACATCTAGAAATCCTTGGTTCTATAAAATATAGATTGATTTTAGTATTCCTCTAGGTCCATCATAATAATGAATATATTGATCAATAATTGAGCAACAATATAGTTATATATACTAACTTAAAAAATAGGAAGACATCCAACACGGCTCAGTAATAAATGCACAATTAATTAAGAATATTGTCGAGTAAAACATGCTCTACAAGAGAATCACACGCATTTCAAAACATTAAAGTTATGCTAGTTTTTCTCAACAGAATTTGTATGTCAGGTTTAAAAATATATATGTATATTCTGTGTGGCAAAGAAAAACAGACTTCTTTAAAAAAAGCAAAGCAATTTGGATTGGATGTAAACATTTGGTGGTACCTCTTGGGTGCCGTCCTGCTCTTTGAACCAGGTCCAGGTGGTGGGCAGAGGGTAGCTGTGGCTAACACAGGTCAGCACCGCTTTGTCGTTCTCATTCCCATGTTCCGAGTGCTTGTAGGCAGACACGTGAGGCAAAGCTAAAATGCACAAGCATGTTATTTATGACCATTTGTACTGAAAGATGAAAGAAGTCAGAGTTGAGTTGGACTGCCTAGTTGTGGTGTTAGTATTAGATAGCAATATGGCCTACGTGCAGGACTCTACAAGGATTCTGATTATTTTGATGATGTGACTGTCTCTGTGTGACACGTACGTCTTTCCATGTGTGACGTGACAATGACTATATAAACTGTGTACTGACTCCATTCTATCTGAGAGAAAGAAACAATTGAAGCCACTGGAACTTGAGAGAAACTTAAATAAACTTCCAGAGTTTGGCGCACCACGATCCGTCTCTCTCTGCTTCATCCCTGACAGTGGTCACACTATGGCCCTGTTTATCCTGAGACGCTGCGCAGACGTTTCCAGGCTATTAACAAAAACGACCTGCCTCCTAATGCAAATTTCTCAGCGTTCACATGAGGTTGAAAAACTATGTAGTTCTAGCGCCCGGCCAGTAGTGGGCAGAGAAACTTTACAACACTCACACGACCCCCAGCCCCGTGCCCAGCCCCCCTCCCGGCAGTGTACTCACTTCCTGTGCCAGACCCTCAGAACGCACCAACATCATTCTGCATTTTAACAGCAGCTGTGAAAATGGAAACTGAACCTAGAGCTTCGCGTGGTCTCGTTTGGACGAACAAAGGAGTAGAATTATCCTCTGTGCTGTGCTCGAAGCCCACGTAGCTAGTTAGTGCGCGCAGCGCCATTTTTGTTGATGTTTGTTCTCCGCTACTGCGCATATCCAAATTTACGTGCAGGGAGCAGCGCGGAGGCGGGGGTCAGAGCAGAGGGGGATTTCACACTTTTCCCCTCTCGCGGGTGTGAAAGAGCCCCCGCTGTGCAGCGTTTCTGAGTTGTCCCACTCTGCAGGCTGGATCTGAACACTTACGTTTTCACCCCCCTGGAACACAGTCTTCGTATGAACGGTTGGTAGAAACCGACATTCAACTATACAGTTTTACTGCCACATTGTCTCCGTGTAAACTCAGCCTATCTTTCCGAGAAAGAACTTCCGGCTATAGTCCCAGAGAGCAGCACCGCTATTGTGAACGCAAACAATGACCATTACACACAACCCTACTTACTTTTGACTTCAATAGTCTTCTGAACAGGCTGCTCCATCTCAAAGACGCACTCATACTTTCCTCCATTGTGGTTTGTGATCTTGTCCAAACTAAAATTAAAAAAATAAAAACACTTAAAAACACTAAAAGGTGCTGTAAGCGATTTTTTTAGCTTAGCCATAGCCCCAACTCAAAACCACTCTCCCCCTCCCGCCTCCCCTCTCCACCAAACCAAACAACCAGTATTTTCTTTGTTACAACAGGGAGAGTGGGTGGCAAATGTGAAATTGGCATTTTCTGTTCAGCCTTTTCAGGTTTTAGCAAATCCGATAACTGCGCACACTCTCGAGAAACGGGAAGAGGGTGAAGGGGTAAACGCATCCCATTGGTTCGTTGTGGATGAACGAATTCCATTTGTTTATTTTTATCTGTCCGCTCCAAAATATTTATCAATTTTAGGAGACTATAGGCATCGGGTCAATTTCATTACTATTTGAAACCAATGACAATGTTTCCCCACAATATTTAAAAAGTTTGTCTGGAAAAATCACTGACTGCATCTTTAAGTTAAGGTCTGACCAAACATGAGAGAAATTACCACAGTAACGTAGTGGCCTATGATTCAATGTGTAGCAGTGTTCAATACATTCACTTAGATCTAATAAAACAAAAATGAGATCAACAATAAGAATGCAATGTCTAAGTCGTCACAGCCTTGTTTCTGTTTACTGGTCCGCACACTGCAGCTCTAATGGGGGAATTAAGGTCAGACCATGTGAGCAGGGAGCCGTGGGCGCTTATCCCGGCTGCCAGTACTACCGACAGAGCTGCACGTCTGCACACTCCAGCTCCAGCTAATCAAGCCTGTGGAATGCCTGAGCGCGCCCACAGCCCTGCGCTTACTGGAGGAGAATCAAGAGCTGCACCCCTGGGACCGAGGGGGGAACAACTCAACATAGGTGGACTGTGAAAGGCCTAGGAGCATCATGTGAGGAAGTGGATATTCCATCACATGCGACAAGTTTCATTTAGTGATGCATACTTTTTATTTTTAAGGCAAATGAGTGGGTTTTATGAGATGGAGATTTGTAACTTCTGCAGAATCACACGGAAACGACAACAACAAAAAATCCACACGTGTTTGTAAAGATGTCTTAAAACCCACGTTTATCATACAGCTTTTAATTCTCAGCTTTAAATTTATAAATCGTATTTTACGGTCTGTCCTGTCCTTGTCTTCTTGTATTCTATCTTATTGTTTTAACTTTGTATTATGACTGATTTATTGTTTATTATGCTGACTGTGCAGCACTTTGTTAACATCGTTTTTGAACAGGCCTTTACAAATAAGATTTATTCCATCCATCCATCCATCCATTTTCTACCCTTTAATCCATTTCTGGGTCAGGGGGGTGGCAATCAGAGATGCCACCCAAGTCTCATAGCACCAGCCCCTCACTGACCCTCTGCAGGTGGTGAGTCCACAGGAGGACGGCTGCTCTCTGACTGTGAGCATAGCCTTGATCTTTCAGTGGGGGCTTTGGGCAAAGTGGGGTTAAGTGTCTTGCCCAAGGACACAACGACAGCAGTCATCAGTGGGAGTCGGTGGAGAAGGTGTAGAGGTGGGAATTGAACCCACAACCTTCTGGCCTTAAGGCCAATGCTCTACCAACTGAGCTACTGTCACCCAGATTTATTATTATTATTAACTAATAGATTAAAGCTAGGATACCTCAATTTTGTGTTTCATAATACATTCTGTTTGTCCCAACTCAGTGGGGGCTTTGGGCAAAGTGGGGTTAAGTGTCTTGCCCAAGGACACAACAACAGCAGTCATCAGTGGGAGTCGGTGGAGAAGGTGTAGAGGTGGGAATTGAACCCACAACCTTCTGGCCTTAAGGCCAATGCTCTACCAACTGAGCTACTGTCACCCAGATTTATTATTATTATTAACTAATAGATTAAAGCTAGGATACCTCAATTTTGTGTTTCATAATACATTCTGTTTGTCCCAACACAGCGGTCTTGTTAAAGTAACAGACCACAACAGGCTGACTTCTTCTCTTTTTTAAACATGCATCTTTGGCATATTTGTACTCAAGTACACCATTTGACTTGGGGCAGAGCGCTCATTACTAGTGAGTTAGTCAATATCCCATAATGCCATTTTTTGCAGCTTGAAAGTCAGAAACCCCATCTTTAAATGGAAAGAATACAAAATAGGATAACAAAGTACATGTATTTCATAGATTCATTAGAAAGGTCTTCATACGTTTAGCTTCACACTCATATTTCCCAAAGAGCTCACCGGAGACTTGTGTAGGGGCTCTCGCTGGTGGACTTTGACTCTTCAATCACTTTCCCATCCAGAGTCCAGTGCGAGCCTTTGATGGGCTTCGCCGTACCGGTCAGGTTACAGCTCAGCACAGCGGACGTCTGGTTCACCACCTCTGTGGGATCACTGATTATCTCCGGCCCTTTGGAAACAAAAGTGGGAGGTTAGCGTGAGAAGTAGTAGGGGGTGGAGGGCCCTCTTCTGGGCAGATCTGCAGGGTTGGAGTGGGAGTTGTAAAAAGGGCGGCTTGATGAAAAATACGTTAAGGGAAGGGCAATAACAGACGCAAGAAGCCCTACTGAGACTTCTTTTTCCAGTCTGTGTATTCTCAAAGCAACACTGGACCACACAACAGGAAAGTGTCTAAATTTACAAGCATTCCTTCCAATTCCAGACCCTCTCAACAAACCAGCATGTTTTGTACAACATATCATTTTACAGGCATACTACAGCCTAATCAACTTCACTGTCATATTTTTAAATAGAATATACAAATGGAGGAATCTATTGATTATGGTCAATTAGATCCTATCCAAAATTACAAAATTCCACTTGTAATGAAAAATGTTTCAACATTTGAATCAAATACAATTTTGATTACAAATTCCTTGGCCTCAGTTGAATATTAAACTAATAAAAGTACCATCACATGAAGGCATATAGTGCAGCAGTTTCCAGCACTTGTATTCACCTGAACATTCATGTTTCTGCCTTAAGTCAACACTGCTCTGGAGACCACTTTCAAAATGTATAATAACTATGCAGTTATGCATAGTATTATGCATTTAACAGATCAATCAAAAGGTAATAATCGATAGAATACTTGATTACTAAAATAATCAGTTGCTGCGGTCCTACTTTTTTTGTCCAATACAAATCTTCAGGTACTGAACTGTATAAATGTTTGCCTCCGGTTTTAGCCAATTCACAACCACATGGCCAGTATTGCCTTGACAAGAACTCAACTACAACCACAGGTTTGGGACTGGATATGGTAAGGGTGGGCCCATGGGATAGTCTGACCACTATAGAGGTCGGAGGGGAGGAGGAGCGGTGGCTTGATGGAGTTTAGGGGACAGTCTCACTCTGAATCACAATAAGGTTAGCCTGCGAGCGGATCCACTTGATCCTGGGTGCCCTCTTCAGCTCGTTGCGGTCCGGGTCATTGGATGCGCGACACTCGTACGTGCCAGAGTCGTTGAGGGTGAGGCTGCTGAGGTAAATGGTGCTCGTGGCGTGGCTTATGTACGTGGCATTAATGTGAACACGCTCATCCCACACCCCGTCGTACAGCTGGGTGTAAGTCTCGTTGTGCTCTTCCCCCTCTATAAACCACCACTGTACCTCCGGGATGGGGTCGCCCACCACCTCACAATGCAACTCTGCTTCGTCATCCGTGAATCGGAGCTGGGACAGAGGGGACTTAACAAAACCGGCTGTAGGAGAGCCAAATTAAAGAAAAACCAGGGTATGATGATTGTAGTTTTGATGGATGTGGTGAATTGTGGCAGCAGAATGGAAGTAAACAGAAAAGAGAGAACAAAAAACATTAATAAAATCACAGATGAGCAGAAATCAAAAGCAAATTAAATGAATGAACAGGGTGCAAATGAAATTAAAATTGAAAGGTGATCAACCAAAGCAAAGAAATGTGTGCACAATACGCAGATCAAGGTCAGGTTAGAAATGAAGGTGTAGAAACGACTCCCTGGACATAGTTTTCCCTGATCACTGGAAGCAGGTTTGAATTTTTTTATATATTTTTTGAATCTCATACTAAGATATAAAGCTGTTTAGTGAGCTGCAAAATATACAAAACCCACCCCCACCCCAATGATGACTTAAAACAGGATAACCGATTTTAGTTCTATATTTAGTTCAAAGTTGAAGTTGTTTCTGGTGGTTTTGACGAAAGGATCAGGTAATGTCACAACCAAAGGTCACCTTGATCCAGTATACGTTTATAAAGTTCCACATTACATAGAACTACCTCACTTGTCCCAAACGCAATCCTTTCTGCATTCCATGTGTGTAAGATACGCATAAGGATTGAGCAAAGTTTGTTTAACAATACACACAATGCAAGATATCATTTCAGTTTACTTTCGCAACATTCCCATTTCAAAAGGCTGATCTTCAGCATGTGGACATCCTGGAGTGAACCTGATGGTGAAAAACCTCTTGCATACATCTTCCCAACAGGGGAATTAAAGAACATGTCAATCGGACTTTGCTCACTGGGCTAAATAACCCAGTGTTTTCAATGAAAATACAATCGCCATCTTGGTTGTCCTGTTAGCTTGCCCCAGGGCTGTTGAAACTAGACCAAGCTTTTGTTGTTATGCAAGTGACAGACCAGATAAAGTGCGGGCACCATATGCTGCACGTTCATGTACACATCACGTGACTGGGGCTAACGCTGTTTCCAGATGTGGCCTTGGTGAATACATTAATATCATGGAAGTCCTCTAACGTAATCACCAGATCACATAATTATGGTTCGTAATACAGGTCTATTAATTACAGTGGGTTTGGAGTCAGGACCGGGATTAGAGCACAGCTAAACGACACAGTTCAACGTTAGATTATGCCCTTTAGAAGTTTATACTAACTTGTATGTGACTGGTATCCGTGTGCAGTGTTAGTGCAGCAGCTCAGAGCCATTTTACATGAACAGAGTAAAGGCAGGGGACCACAGGCCCCGTCTCAGGCGCCGAAGACGGTGGGTCCTCCAAACTAACTATTCCCCTCTGCGGCTCCGAAAGCAAAGTCTTATTTGGGTCGCTCTCACCAACATGGCTGACGCCAGATTCTTACCCGTAGAAGCACTGGCGCTCCAGGAGGCTAACAGCACGGCACAGAGCGCCAACAGGAACTTCATGGCTACCGATTTCATCAGTCGGTGAAATAGGCACGGAAACACAGCGTGGACAGCAGTGTTCCGCTCGGTTCTCTCTCGGTCCTGGGTTGATGTGTCCGAACGCTTCGGCCTCGGGTCTGTCCTCTGACTACCAGCTGCTCTGCTCACGCACAGGCCTACACCAGAGCTGCACGTAGGGACCATACGTAGTGACGCAGGCCTTTGGGCGTGGCCTTAATGCTAAAGCCAAGACAAATTTGCTGCATCCGGATTCACAACAATATCTCCTTCCGCCTCATCCTTCTCCTTTTCCATGACCCTGCTGGCATCAACTTTGACCTGCTGGAAGTATTACATTTCACGGGGTCAACCCTGGAGCTACTATTTCTCATAAAAGGTCAAATTTTAAAGACAAGGACATTTAAATATTAAGTTGCATGCAATTCATTGACTAATTGCCTGAGCAGGATTTCACATTCATGAATAGAATCAATTAATCTACAAGGAACAAAACCAACTACAGCCCATTCGTTCTCTTTATCTGTTTCCTTTTGACGTTCAACACCAAAAGAACCTTAGGAACTTCGGAGAAACAATGTGAAGGAAATACTAAGAGCGAAGGCTAAACAATTTAATTGTATGAGTGTATTGTGGTTTTAAAGCTCATGTCCGGTTCAGGGCTTTGAGAACTATAAAAAAAATGAGTCATTCAGAATATTTTAAAAGCTTGATTCAAAATACCAAAATATTGACCAGTGGCACTCGATTTTATTTAACTTTCAAATGACTGTACATAATACTGCAAAACCTGTTTATATTTTTGTTTAAACACACTGAAAATGTTTGTATGCCAATAGATCAGTATAACATAATTTAAAGAAAAATAAAATATATTTTCAAATCCCACATAAAAGTAAGACTGCAATTAGATAAATCATAAGTGCAAACCAGCATTATAATATAAAAGTTAGAAAATCACTTGTCATTTGCAAGATGCTAGGAGGGAAAACAAAAGCCTTTTTAAAAGTATTTATGCGCAAATTGTAATACCTACAATTTTTTTTTGTTAGCCATAATATCCTGTTGCTTCATTGTTTCAATTTAAAATATACAATGTACTATAGAATATACTAAGTGATCATTAAAAAACTACCCCGCTGTCGGAAGTCTTGCCTTTGGACTCCATTGTGGCTCTTCCTGTGCTGCTGACAACACATGAGTGAAGTTTGTATGATCCTTCACATGTTTGCACAAAGAAGCTGCTTCATGGGGCTCCACCCTTCCCCTTTCATCTCTTGACAATGACGAAAGAAACGGGGCAAGATCAAACACATGGACCTTGTGTATCGTCAGGACGGTCCCAGCAAATCAGGTTTGGGAGTCTGAAGAAGACCGAGCCCCGTTCTTACCCAATGTCTCGAAAGTTCTGAAAAACTTCCGTTTCGGTGCGACATGCAACCAGCGGGGGAAGAAGCAGCTTTTATTCAAAGTTATCAGTGGAGTTATTATTGCTGGTTGAACTTGATGATGATGATGATGAAGAGTTTGAAGAATTAAAGTTCATCTCTGATAATTCCGGGGGGTTTGTAGCCGTGTTCTGCCCACTTAAGCTTTTCCTGCACACCGGGCAGGTATCATGCTGAGAATGAAAGCAGAGTAAACAGTTTATTGGTTTTTTTAATATAGACGTGTTTTAATTGTCGAGTGCTTCTTTCCCAACTGTTCTTGAATTGAATGTGGACTTCCTGGTTCTAGTCAGAACTCGAGTTGCAGCGTTTTGAATACACTGCAGATGTTTTAACAGCTCGTTTGAGAGACCAGTGAGACAGTCGTCTAACCTACTGGAGACACATGCATGGATAAGAATCTCCAAGTCTGCTTAGGTGCTGATGTTATGGATGAGATATAGCAACTGAAAGTGAAGTCTGAGTCCATTAACACTACCAGACTAGATTTCGAAGCTGACTTGAAGGTTTTAGGAAGAGACATGAGATGAAAGAAAACGCCCTTTTTTCTGAGGACCAAAGACGATAATTTTGCTTTTGTTTGAATTTAGCTGGAGCATTGATCTGTTGGATGCTGTGAGGGCTCAAGTGCAGGGCTCTATTTGTCACACATCAGTGAGCTCTCAGCTGATCTCAAGCATAACTCTTTTCAGAGACATAAAACTTTCATTGAAAGTAAATCTGAACTAACCCAAATAGGCCTCTGGTAGTCATCAATTAGGGAATCATTTTGAGATCAGTGAATAAACTTGAATTATACATTCAACACGAACAAGATGTGGAAATGTGACACATGTGTGTTGTGAGATGTCGTCTTGATGCAAAAAAAGGCTCTAATGAACATTCCAATAGATCATATGGTAGAACTATAGTTGTTATACTGCTATTACTGCTTTGTAGATTACAAAAGTAATTTACTGTTGAAGAAATTTGTTCAGTTGTCAGAGCCATATTGCACATTCTTACAATAGAGGAGAAAGCCTTTTTATTTTTATACGTAATTAAAGAAAATAAATTACATTCCAATTCAGCCAGCTGTGTAAGTGACATTCAAAATGTTCAATTACCTGCTCCAGCCAGGGTACTATGCAGTCGTTGTGGAACATGTGATTGCATGGAAGCTGCCTCACGGTTTCTCCCACACTGTAATCTTCTTTACAAACTGGACATTCTAATCCCGAGGCTGTGGGACACAGAACATGTTAGACCTTTTTAATTGCCAAAGATTACAGCACATGTTCAAGCTCTGCTGCTTACCAACATGCTCATCAGTGATTTGAATTGTAGGGAGACTTTTTATTTTATCTCTATCTGCTGGTGGCGGCCCTGTGTTTTCAAATTGGTTCAATAACTGAAAAGGGAAAAAAACTTTGTTTCAGAGGGTTGGCACTGGGCAGTTTTTATTATCAGACCTGAAACAAGATAAAATTCTGAAGTGTTTATAGTTTGTACCTGTGTTATAATTGCATCCAAACCATTAGCTCCCCAGGCATAATCCATAGGATTTGAATGCAGAACACCCCTAGAATCATATGATTAGAAAATCGACAGGTCTAATATTTAATATTTAATTGTGCAGATTCAAGATACCACTTACCATGGTCCCACACCTAAATTTGGCACAGCAGTTGGTGCAATTATACCATTGACTAACTGCTGAATAATTCTGAAAAAATAAATAAGTTAAACTATAAATAGTAGCATATACATTGCTGAAATGAGAAAAAAACAATTGAACAACAGTGCAGAGGCAGTAGAATGGCTGACCCCTCTAATGTGGGAACGTCCTCCTGCCACCCTGGTGGTCGCATAGAACTTTGCCGTCGTCTCTGTTGCCGAGCACCATATCTGTGCCGTGCGGCTGTTTCCCTTTCTCTGCGATTTTCAGCATCTCTGTTGTCTTCTGTTCCCAGACCGGCTCCCAAGTCAAAACTATTGCCAAAGACACCCAGGGAAAACTGGCCATTACCAGAAGAGAATGTAAACAAATGCTGCTCCGGGTTCTGAAAAGAACAAGAAGTAAACTTAGGAGAAAATATTCACATCAATATGAGTATTAGTTACAAGATATTATTAATATAATATTAGAGCAGTTAAGAGTGATTGAAGTGATACAAAGAATTGTTAACAATGATATTTGAGTAAATAATGAGTTAGACACCTCCAACGACTGCTGATTCTGGGGCCCGCTGGAGATGGTAGACATGGAGCCATTGTCAGCACTAAACAAAGGACACATATTTTGAAGTTATGTGCTGACATGGACTGACAGGAGTATCTCTACATTTAATATTCAAATGCACAGAAATAAATCAGCCCTAGAATCAAAACAAATGATGGGTCCCAAGTGAATTTTTTTCATGAAAAACACATTAATCCACTGCATTCAGAGCCCCATCGTGCAACTGTATAATTATTTACTAACCTCCTCTCTTCCAGCAACTCCTCAATAAAACCTGAGTCACATCGAGGACATGTATAATCCTGTAGCAACACAAATAAGTGAACAGAACAAAGTATTATATATGGTATATGGGTTTATGGACATAATGTATAATGTACAGTATTGACAAAATCTCACTGAGACCACTGTACATTTAGCTATTGTTCAATCTTCGAGTAGGTGAAACCGAAAGCTTCTCTGTCATTGTCGCAAAAGCAGTTGTTTGACAGATCATTCTGGTCACTGACAACAATCCCTCAGTTAGAGAACATAGAACAGCAAAACAATGCCTCATATAACTATGTAAAGTTTATGAACACCATATAATGCTCCTTCAAAATATAAACAGTCAAACGATTACCACTGTTTAGACAACAGAAAACACATGCGAACATGATCCCTTTCTGACAGACGACACACATGACGACAGTAACGCTAGGTTACATAGTGACATGTTAGCCGAGGATAAAGCAGGCTAAAGCAGGCTTAACTGTTGAGTAAAAAGGTATTCATGAGATAACAGGTGATCGGACATATGCTATGAATACCAATAAATATAAACAACTCTGCAAAAAAGCGGTTAGTTTATATGATGCATTAAGCTTTATATTAAGATAACAATCTTCGTTAAAATGGCTAGCATTAGCATTAGCATTAGCACAGGAGCTGCTGCTGCAGTGTTGACCTCTCTGCCACAGGGAGCTCTGGCTCCTGGATGGACGGATGGCCACAGTCAGAACCCCCACATCCACTCATCAGCTGGGTTAAACCAAAGAAACTCACGGGAAGTCGAGGACTGATCTCTGCAGAGCATCTATGACAGAAAAACCGGCTGGGCCATGGAGGAGCTTCAGCCATCTTTATCACTGCACACAGCGGCGCTACGGCTACCGCGAAGGACCATTCTGGTACTGCAACAACCATGTGACCATTCTACATGTTTATATTGTTATTCTAATACATAGTTCCCACATGACGTCACTACATACGGGGATTTGCCGACCCGGCGCCATTTGTATTGGCATGCTGTGGGCAAAACAATAGAAAAAGAAGCTGAAACGTGTTAATGTCGTGATAAAGTTGAAAATGGTCATCTCCTGCTGGGTCAATGGATGTTCTAATCGTGCCGGAGGTTCCGTTAAACTTGGATTTTACAGTATACCCATCATTAGACTTCATGAATGTGAGAAGACTAAGCTTTTGTCAGAACAACCACGGAGGTTATGGCTTGCGAAGATAAACAGGCAAGAAACTCCCTCAAAACACGCAAGAATATGCTCAGAGCACTTTGTGTCAGGTGCGTATCGTATCTTATAATGTGTTGACAGACGTAATTTACTCAGTACTAACTTGTGTATGCTGATATCTGGTAACTTGAGAGTTTCAGCATCCAGAGTGTCCGTGTGGCATTAGCATTAATTAAATTAATTGTTAATATAATTAAAATAATTAAATGGAGCTCCAACTGGTATTAAATCTAAAGTTTTTGAGAAATGTTTGCATTGCTTGTTAATTTTTGCTGCATAATTTGATCAAATATGTAAAACATGTCCGTAGCACGTTAAACACCGCGGTAAAGTGGGCCGCATCTTTCACCTCCGAAGTAAAACGGCCCGCATCGAGAGAAAAGCAGTGCGCGTTTTGTTGACTGCTTACGGTAATAGCAGAACAGCCTTTCGCAGTCAGCTTTTCTCCTCGAACAGAAAGCGCGCTTAGGAGACTCGTTTTGTGAATAAACCCTTATTTGGAAAAGCATGTAAAAACTTAAAATGTTCGACATTTAATTTGGTCAAAAAGTGAAATTTTCAGCTGCTGCTCCATTTTTACAGTTAAAGACTTGAGTATCTTATTCCACTGGGTGTATTCTCGAGGTCGGCGTTACGTCACGAATCATGTGACCTGCGTAGCAACCAACCGCCGCCATGTTTGAAGGGTAAAACAAACCGAAGGCGAATCCAAAAGGTATCTATTTACATATGTTTTGCCGTGGATTATGTCAGTTATGGATACTAACGGACAACTTTGAATTATTGATGAATGATATCTGTGTATGCGAATGTATGTTGGTGGTGTTAACATTTCAGGGCTTGCTTAGCTGGAGGCAGGAATCTAAATTCCTATCTATTTCCATTGTAGCTGTTGTCATAGTAACAATAAAGAAATGTCTAACTGTTGTTGGAAATATCAGATAAACCTTATTTTATTAACGCAAATGTCATTCCTCTTGTTCTTGCACCTTAAGCCACAACAGGACCACCTTTTTCAGTTGTAGTTTTACACTTATAATCGCCAGTTTTAGTTTACATTCACTCCATACATGTGAGATTAAACACTCATGTAAAGCGCTTTGTGACTAGCTACATGTCTGTGAAAGGCACTATATGAATACAGATCTTCTTCTTCTATTGCAGCATGTCATATCAGTATATTGACAGTCTCCTAGCGCCTGCATTGACCAGGTACCACTAGCCTGGTTTTACCATACCCTCATACTTGTTTCGTACAGAGGGTACATCCCGGGAAAAAAAGATTTGACGGAGTTTACGGATGGCAAAGGCCAGGCTAAGGTACCACAGAAAGCTGTCGCTTGTAGGTTTACAAATCTTGTCCCTATCGGCATCCAGCAGAGTCCTGGGAAAACAACCCAAAGGCATGGCCCAGGCTCGAGTATCCAGACATATACAATTACCTCATCAAGTCCCCTGGTATGAACACCATGTGTACATTACCATGTGTCCTACACTTGTAGTAATATTTAAATACCCATCAAGCATCGATAACATTAACTATGTTATGACATTCAAAAGCATTCTGTTACAATGTGGCTGTAATGAGCTCAGTCTGTCAGTGGCACAGCTTGTACAGTGTAAGTGAGGGACACAGTTTTTTTCAAAACCAAAAAAGGCTAACTGCAGAAATTCCACTTATTCCCCACACAACTAGTGCATTTCATTGTTGCTTATCGGTGTAGAGCTGCCGACCATTATGCATAGCGATGTCATAACATAGCAACAGAAAACAGTGGCATGGCATTGGTATTATTTTGTTATTCTTTGATTTGCCCCTCAATGTGTCCATTCATTTGAGATTACATTTCTATTTAAATTTTAAAGTAAAATGGCATACCCTCTATTCACACTTTTTATGACCGGTTATTTTTTGCAATAACCAGTCATCAGTATTACATTTTATTATATTATATATGTAGTGTCTAACGACAACAGCAAGACTTTAACATTTCTAATGAGAAATAGTTTATTAGACATTGTATAAGTAGAAATACTAAAAGACGTGAAGATTGACATGAAAACATTTGTATCATTTACTTGCAATTTGTCAGTGTTTTTGCTCTGGTCAATTGTCACTCTCCTAGATGTGATATGTTAATGTATAAAAATAAAATTATTTCCCTTTCTTCATTTTCTTTTGTTTCAGGTGTATTTAGTATTATGATGGTGGAGACCGAATCATTGCTGATTTTGTCAATGCCTAATTCCGTCTGCTGCAGGTCTTGCATTTCCATGCAGCAGGGTGTTGACACTTCTTGTTGCAACTCTTCTGGGACACTTGTCTCCTCAAATTCCAGTTGCTTCTTCACCTTCCTTTCCCTTTCGTGATACTAGAGTAGTGGATGGTGCTGAAAAAAATAGATAAAAGGTATATATTTTGCAAATGATCACAGAAATTTTAAGTCATGGCCTCATATTTATAATATATAATAATAATGCATCAGTTTTATGTAGTGCTTTTCTGGACACTCAAAGACGCTTAACATTGCACTATTCATTCACTCCATACTTGGTGGTGGTAAGCAACTATTATAGCCACAGCTGCCCTGGGGTAGACTGACTGAAGCGAGGCGACCAGTCTGCGCCATCGGCCCCTCCGACCACCACCAACCACTCACTCACTCGGCTTCCTGGTGTTACTAAACGGCAGTATATGTTAGTATTGAGTTGGATTGGGACGATAAGTCATAATAGTCGACTATGACCTAGAAAAGCAGCGACCAGTAGACTAGTTTTGTACTATAAATACCATCTTACCAAGAATTTCCAGGCTAGGCATTATGTACAAAAATCTGCATGACTAGTTACTTTGTAGATGCAATGACTTTTTCATACAGGAGGTAATTTTGTTTTCAAGGAAAATACATTTGTTAGCAAAATCTGTATTTTTACACAGATTACCATTTTTGTAGCAGTTAACCTCCCAAGTACTACTTTTTCAAATTGGTCATTAGAAATCAACATGTATTTTTTATTTATGTATTTCATATGGGGGACAACATTCTATTTCACAAGGTGCTTGTATCAATTGTTGTACACAACCTCATTGCAATATGGAATCTTTTAATTCTTAACTGTGCATTGGAAATGCAGCTCATTATCTGCAGGTACGGTTTTACTGCAGTGTAAAATAAGAGCAATAAACACAATTTGCTACTATATATATGTCTGCATAAACAAAATCGACTGCAATTTGTTAGTTTTAAATTTCAAGTGTTGTGTCAAACAAATTCAGATAATTTTTGGTCATTGATCTAGGAGCAAACTAGATGCATGTTGATCACACTACAGTTTGATGGTTTTTTTTCTGTTAACGATAGGGTACTGTGGGTAGCAAACTTACCTTTTCTTTTCTGTGCTCTTTCTTGAAGCGATCAAGTGTGGTACTCTTAGTCAATTCCTTCAGCACTGCTTGCGGGAAAATGGACGGAGTGTAATCTGGGTATGCGGGGTTGTTGTTCTTCTTTCCTGTTCAAGGAGCAAAGTGACAAAATCTAAAGATTCCCACTGAGTAGCTCCAAGCCAGCTGGAGCCATTTCTCTCTCCTTTCTGGCTCAGTTGCCTCGCTAGGGATCATGTAAAAGGATAGGTCACTCCTTTTTACGCTGTTGTTGGTACAACCAACAATACAACAGTTTTTCGGCATGTTTTGTAACGCTCGTTTGTCTTTCGCTTCGTGTTGCTTAATGGCGGGCGCTGGTTTGTTTTACCCTTCGCCGCGTTGCTATGCGCGCGCAGTGCATTATGGGAGTCCAAGTTCCCGGATGTCCGACCTCGAGAATGACCTCACCCTGGTATTTGCAAAACATGCAGGAAAACCAAAGGCTCTTCCAGTTGACTCTAATCTAAAAGGAAAAAGACAATAATCAGATTCCATTTGAATGAAGGTTATCCACAGACTAGCAATTCTTTTTGGTGTACTTGTGGCAAACTTGAAACATAAACTATTCTAATGATAAATAATTAACTATGGAAAGAGTAAAAATAGAAATAAAACCAGCAAAATCACACAAGTACAGCAAGCATACATGTAGAATTTATACAGAAGTACATTAGCAGCAATGTGAGTGTGGGTATACCACATAGTATCAAATAGAGCAAGTACAACTGGGACAGGTTATTCAATTTACATTAGTCTGATACTGATTGTTGAATGTTTTAAGTGTTCATGAGTCTCCTTACGTTTTTCACTTTGATATGTTCAAAGTGTAATGGGGTGTTACATAGAGTAATGTTTTACTATTTAAGGTTCCAGGCTTGGATACAGACTTATTGAATGTTAACCTCTTAACCCCCACCTGCACCGAGGCGATATCTCCAGTTTGGCTTCTGAAAAGAGTTTCAAAATAGCAAGAAAAACAAGAAAAATGAGACAAAAACAAGGATGAAAATCATCAAAAGAGCGACGAAAACGTGACAATAAAAGCAAAGAAAAGGTGGCGAAAATGTGTGACGAAAAAGCAACAAAAGATAAGACAAAAAGTGATGAAAATGGCAAAAATGTGAAGAAAACACAACAAAACTAGTGATAGAAACAAATGTCTGACGACAACAAGCAAGGAAAAAGATCAATTTAGCGTTACCCTGGCCTAAGGATAGTGGTAGGCGTGAGTGACCTATATAGATTTTATGTAAAGCTGAACTGTAGAAAATGCACCTCGGTTAATGGTGGTGTAAAGAGGTTAAGTGTTCATGAGCCTCCTATACTTGTTTGCACTTTTGATATGTTCACATGTAAAGTTGTTCTTTACATAGAGTATTGTTTTAACTATTTAAGGTGTCCATGGCTTGATACAGACTTATTGAAATAAGTAAAAAGTAAAAGTATTCTCTGACGAGATTATTACACGTTATTTTTTATATATCCTTTGAATAAAACCACGACTAAAACCAGTGAGTACACCAAATCTAAACAAGGTCTAAATGGGTGCACCACTAAATCTGGACGAAACCATCTAAAATAGATTAAACCACAAAACCACGTCTAAAACTGGGACTAAAACCAGGGTCACTAGGAAAATAACATACTTAACTGTTTGACCCAATTTTAAAAATGTAACTTAAGTACAACGTACAGAAGACAAGGCCTCTAAAATGTAGTTAAAGTAAAAAGTGTTCATCATAAAATGTTACTCGAGTAAAGTAAAAGTATCCACAATCAAGTTTTTTATGAGCACTATTAAAAAACAAACGGTTGACCAAAGTGCTGTACAATAAAGACAATAAAAACAATAAAAGTACTTTCGTGGATTTTCTTACTAATCCAAAGAACAATAAAGAGATGTAGGACAGCAGGATACAGTGATACAATGTATGACAGATAGCCACAGACTGGGATGGGTATTGATTAAAAGCCCAGCTATGCCGCTAGCAAAGCGAGTCGTGTAAAGACAACACTGGCCTGGTCTATTGGAAATAGTAACTGACTAAACATTGTAACAACAGAACAAGCGGTTGGCAGAAAAAAAATATTTACAACAAAAAAATCATCACTTCATAATGAACAGAAAAGCTGTACCTAAAATTGGTACTTTTAATCTTCCTACAACTAGTCAAATGAGTATGCAAATACAAATGTACAGGCACAAAAGTCCTAACTCCCCACACTCACCCTCCCCACTGCCCTCCCTCACGAAATCAGTCATGTGTCTCCCTGTACACCACCACCTCTCACTGAGATTTATGAGTGCACCACACACTTCAACTATCTAATTCTACAAGCCAAAGGAGATGCCTCAGCTTCATTGGTAAGGCTTTGTAACATAGAGATGGGTAGAGGTCCCTTTTAAATGGTGTACCTATTTTCAGTACCCCTAATGACACGTTCTATATGAATGCGAACCGAGGAGATCTTTCGGGAACGTTTCACCTCCTCTGCAATACCAGCTTTTTTTCCGTTGGTGAAGGCAGGTGGTCAACAGTACAGCTCCACCACTCCGGCTGCAAAAGTCCTCGTGCAACGTAAACCCACGGTCAGCCAATATCTGGTCAACCAGGCAAGTGGATATGTGCGGCTTATAAATCCGGACTGACAGAACAAATTTGGACATCTGACGCTCTCCCCCCCACAACGTAGAAAGGTAGTTAATGGTGCCCAGTGGAGAGCACGACACAAATACTTTAACTGTAACAGATGCTTTTTGTAGTAGCTCCAGGTCGGTGCCCTTGCCTTGAGATTTTTTGGGCATCAATAAAAATCTCAAACCGTCAATCAGTGATGTCAAGCGGGTAATTTTGATTTGAAAACGGAGGGATTGTCTGGAAAATGATTTCTCTATCCTGCCATCTGAAAGAAATGTTATGTTTTTGTGTCCATTAAATCAACCCAATTTCCAAAAGTAGTCAACAGCAGTGCTTTTAGGGATGCCTTTAATAGAAGCCAGTGTCTGAGTACGCCCATAGTCCACTATAGTGGCGTCATCAGGCATGAACGTTGGGAGACCCATGTGTTTTGGTCAACAGTGACTATGGTTCCTGTACGAGAATAAAATTTTGTCACGTTTAAGAAGTTACAACATCTCTCTTTCATTTCTTTCACATCGCGTACACGAGATGGTGACTCCAGAAGTTGGTTCGACGACAGGACGCCTGCAAAAGAGCAATGGCAAAGTTCGGACCGCCAGAAAACGTTTGACTTTTCCCAAACGCAGCAGAGTGGCCAATATGGCGCCGCCGCTTCGACCGGAAGCAGGGTCGGCTACGAAGCCTCGCAGAGACGCGGCGAAGTGCAAGTCAACACACTTCTCTACGATTTTTTTCTTTGGGAAAGAAGCAGAGCCAATATATGATTCATGTTGTGTTATAGTGACAGCGAAATGAAATAGTGACGATGACAGAGGACACAGTCACGATTTGATTACTCAAAAGTAATAGCTAAGTTCACGAGCATTTTGTGCCCAAAACGCAACTCATCACGACCGTGCCTATGCTTTTACAAGCGAGCAGAAGCCCGGAGAATTGTGAGGATTTGTATGAACTCTCACCATACTGTGAGATTGGAGCCATAAAAGACGACAAATCAGAGACAGGATTGGTTTATTGGCATATCCGACAGTGATTCTCTCAAAAACTACAGCTAGAAACGAGCTCACACTGGAAAAAGCTTATCCAATAGCAAAGACAAAATGAACAAATTAAGCACAGAACATCAAGTATGTGTCGGACTATGCAGTCTGGATGCAATTGCGACCAGGCTGGCGCAGTATATAGAAAGAGTAAATCAAACAGCGCACTACCAACCGTGAAGATCTCCGCGAACAACAGAGCTGCTCACGCTGCAAGAGACCACACGGGAGACACAGCCATGCCAGCAAAGAACAAGAGGTGCAGAAAATGCAACAAAAGGGACAATAATTGAGGTAGCGTTTTACACTAAAACACTGAAGAAGTCACTGTTACTCCCAGAGAAACAGACACCGATGATCCGTTTTCTTAGGATCAATTAAAGAGACAACTATGAATTGAGCAAACGGTCCAGATGAGGAGTGGTTGGTAAAGCTTACCTGTGAATGGCAGCAGAGTCGAGTTCAAAAAAGACACAGGGGCCTACATCACCGTCATGGCCCCGAGTGAAGTAAACAAGTTACATCACAGCCCCGCCCGTCACGTTAGAGGAAATCACCCCAAATAACAAGTCCTGGAGTAAAGTCCAGTGCAAAGGCAAGTTTCTGGTACATAATCTTATCTACAAAGGGCAAAGTACAAGTTTTGGATAACTGTTCTAAGTGGACCCATATGTCCATAACCAGTTTAGGTGGGAGTGTAGCTAGACAAGGGGTCTGTCAAGAGACTTGATAACATCAACATTGTTGAGGATGTTTTCGGGGACATTGGTCTTTCTCAAATGTGACCCTCCAAGAAAAATTGAACTGAAAGCCAAGGCCTGAGCCCTATTCCCTAACTACAACCACGTAGAGTGCCGTTCCCTCTTCTACCAAAATTGAGGCTGAAAATAAAACGCATGTTAGAGCTGAAATTCATTGAAGAAGTCACGAGCCCACTGACTGGAGTGCCCCAATGTACCAGTTTGAAAAGTAAAACAGTAGACCAAAGTGAAGGAATCTTGTTGATTTAAAGCGCTAAAACAATGCAGTAAAGAGCGAAAGGTACATGTTTTGCCAACCATTGGAGGATATCCGCCCCAAGCTTTCAGAGCGAAAGTATTCTCAACGTTGGATTCATCGATGTGGATTCTGGCAGATACCTCTGGAAGAGGCTGCAGGAAGTTAAACACTTTCATCACCCAATGGGCAGAATTCGCTTTAAGCGCTTACCTTTCGGAAATCACTGTCCGCCCCAGAAATATTTCAAAGACAAATTGTCGAGCGCTAAAAGGACACAAGGTTGTCCCGTGGTGAAGGATGACTTTTAGTCTTCGGGACAACAAGGCGCACAAGACAGACACATTGAGTGCAGTTTTTGAGGACCATCAGAGAGAGTGGGACTAAAACTAAACAACAAAATGCCATTTCGAGGAAGTCAGAAATACAGTACTTAGGCCACATAATCAGTGCTGATGGCATGAAGCACGGACCCAGACAAAGTAAAGGCAATCACCCAAAATGGAAGCCCAACAAAATGTGGAAGAGCTGCGCCATGTCCTGGTCTCATCAACTATGAGGTCGTTTTCTGCCTGATCTATCATCAAAACTACATCCGAATCAAAAAAAAATAACGGGAACTTCTCAGAAAGGAGAGCAGGTGGACATGGATTATGCACAAGAAGAGGGGGGGGGGGGGCAAGCATCTCATGGAGGTTAAAGCTATGCATGTAAAAGCCCGGCACTTGCATAGTATGATCCACAACGAGAGGACTGTATTAGCGCAGACGCCCAGCAGCTATGGGTTAGGAGCCACTCTACTACAGGAGAACTGGGGCAAGTTAAAGCCAGTAGCTTTCTGTTCCCAGCAACTTTAACGGACTCTGAAAACGATACTCACAAATCGAAAAAGAGTGCTTAGCTGGGTATGGCATGTGAGAGATTTGCACGCTATGTAACAAGGGATGGATGGTTTCAGGTACAAACAGATCAAAACCTTTGGGTTCCATTAATTAACACTTACGACATAGAAAACGCCCCGCCCAGGTTACAAAGCTTCTAAAGCGCATTCTGAGAATTTCAGGTGGTTTGGAGAGCCACGTTCCAGGGAAAACAACTGGCCGGTCACAGACGCGCTCTCCAGAAATCCACTGAGCTGCACAAGTGAATAGCAGCACCGACAAAGAGGTACAAGTACATTTCAATCTGTATGTCCAAATGCACCAGTGTCACCACAAAACTGAGGGAAATCCAAGCAGCTACTCTACATTACGAAGAGTTAAGTGGAAAGATACCACAGAAACAGAAATGGCTGGCCCTAAGAGAGGCATTACATCCTCTCGCTTCATAAGTATACTATTCAGCGCGCACACAACTCTCTGAGGCAGATGGACTAATATTGTTTCAGACAGGATAGTCATACCAACTGCTCTCAGGTCAAATGTGCTAAAACGCATACATGAGGGTCACCAAACTAACTAAGTGTCGCGCCCGGCAAGCATGTCAGTGTGGTGGCCGGGTAACAGCAACGAGCAATACTCAGCTCATTACCACATGCAGGTTTTGTACTGAAAACAAACCTTCACAAAGACATGAGCCTCTCTCACCACCCCCTCTGCCACAAGGCCCTGGCAGCGCAATGCAGCTGCGACTTATTAGAGTTTTGGAAAACAAAACTACCTTATTTGTGACAGATTTACTATTCCAGAGATATTGAGATAGCAAACCTGTCCAATATTTCTCAGGTAGACAAGTTATTGGCAAACTCAAAAATATGTTCGTCCGATGGTGAATACCGCTGGAGCTGGTCAGCGAAGATGCACACAATTCACTTCAGAGGAATTCAAGCATTTCTGTGCAGAATATGGCTTTGCACATGTAACCTTCCAGTCCACACTTTCCCCAATCAACGGTGCCGCAGAGCTGCTGTACAAACAGGCAAAACACATCCTAAACAACGCTGACCCGCATTTGGCTCTGATGTGTGACCGAGCAACCCATGCACTGCTATAGGGGGGGGGGGGGGGGGGTGTGGTGAAAAAACAGGCGTGTGTCCAGCCGTAGTTTATGACAGCAGGCACATCAGAACAACACTGCCAAAGCTGGAGACAAATAACAGTGTACCAATAGACAAGCAAGCATTTTTGAGAAAGGACTAGCATCCAAGTCTTCTTATAGTTCTTCCATGACACAGCCACCACTCAGCGAGACCTCTGGCATGGCTGTTTCAGGACAAGACGTCAAAGTAAAGTTGGATGGGAAGAAACTTTGAAGATCTTCAGGAAAAGTTCTTGGAAAGAGTGTGAAGCCACGTTTCATACTTGGTTCAAATGGACAATGGGGACTAGTTTCACGATCGGAATAGGAGACACATACAACTAGTTTCCGGATTCAATCAGCTTCACTACCACCACAAGAACTGCCACATGCGAGCTCACCAAAAACAAACCACCCAGAGGATGCCACTCAGGAGGACAGTGAGTTGTTGATTCTGGACAATGTGTTGTGACAACAAAACTGACCTGCATGAAAACACCAAATGTCTCGAAAGTTCTGAAAAACTTCCGTTTCGGTGCGACATGCAACCAGCGGGGGAAGAAGCAGCTTTTATTCAAAGTTATCAGTGGAGTTATTATTGCTGGTTGAACTTGATGATGATGATGATGAAGAGTTTGAAGAATTAAAGTTCATCTCTGATAATTCCGGGGGGTTTGTAGCCGTGTTCTGCCCACTTAAGCTTTTCCTGCACACCGGGCAGGTATCATGCTGAGAATGAAAGCAGAGTAAACAGTTTATTGGTTTTTTTAATATAGACGTGTTTTAATTGTCGAGTGCTTCTTTCCCAACTGTTCTTGAATTGAATGTGGACTTCCTGGTTCTAGTCAGAACTCGAGTTGCAGCGTTTTGAATACACTGCAGATGTTTTAACAGCTCGTTTGAGAGACCAGTGAGACAGTCGTCTAACCTACTGGAGACACATGCATGGATAAGAATCTCCAAGTCTGCTTAGGTGCTGATGTTATGGATGAGATATAGCAACTGAAAGTGAAGTCTGAGTCCATTAACACTACCAGACTAGATTTCGAAGCTGACTTGAAGGTTTTAGGAAGAGACATGAGATGAAAGAAAACGCCCTTTTTTCTGAGGACCAAAGACGATAATTTTGCTTTTGTTTGAATTTAGCTGGAGCATTGATCTGTTGGATGCTGTGAGGGCTCAAGTGCAGGGCTCTATTTGTCACACATCAGTGAGCTCTCAGCTGATCTCAAGCATAACTCTTTTCAGAGACATAAAACTTTCATTGAAAGTAAATCTGAACTAACCCAAATAGGCCTCTGGTAGTCATCAATTAGGGAATCATTTTGAGATCAGTGAATAAACTTGAATTATACATTCAACACGAACAAGATGTGGAAATGTGACACATGTGTGTTGTGAGATGTCGTCTTGATGCAAAAAAAGGCTCTAATGAACATTCCAATAGATCATATGGTAGAACTATAGTTGTTATACTGCTATTACTGCTTTGTAGATTACAAAAGTAATTTACTGTTGAAGAAATTTGTTCAGTTGTCAGAGCCATATTGCACATTCTTACAATAGAGGAGAAAGCCTTTTTATTTTTATACGTAATTAAAGAAAATAAATTACATTCCAATTCAGCCAGCTGTGTAAGTGACATTCAAAATGTTCAATTACCTGCTCCAGCCAGGGTACTATGCAGTCGTTGTGGAACATGTGATTGCATGGAAGCTGCCTCACGGTTTCTCCCACACTGTAATCTTCTTTACAAACTGGACATTCTAATCCCGAGGCTGTGGGACACAGAACATGTTAGACCTTTTTAATTGCCAAAGATTACAGCACATGTTCAAGCTCTGCTGCTTACCAACATGCTCATCAGTGATTTGAATTGTAGGGAGACTTTTTATTTTATCTCTATCTGCTGGTGGCGGCCCTGTGTTTTCAAATTGGTTCAATAACTGAAAAGGGAAAAAAACTTTGTTTCAGAGGGTTGGCACTGGGCAGTTTTTATTATCAGACCTGAAACAAGATAAAATTCTGAAGTGTTTATAGTTTGTACCTGTGTTATAATTGCATCCAAACCATTAGCTCCCCAGGCATAATCCATAGGATTTGAATGCAGAACACCCCTAGAATCATATGATTAGAAAATCGACAGGTCTAATATTTAATATTTAATTGTGCAGATTCAAGATACCACTTACCATGGTCCCACACCTAAATTTGGCACAGCAGTTGGTGCAATTATACCATTGACTAACTGCTGAATAATTCTGAAAAAATAAATAAGTTAAACTATAAATAGTAGCATATACATTGCTGAAATGAGAAAAAAACAATTGAACAACAGTGCAGAGGCAGTAGAATGGCTGACCCCTCTAATGTGGGAACGTCCTCCTGCCACCCTGGTGGTCGCATAGAACTTTGCCGTCGTCTCTGTTGCCGTAGCACCATATCTGTGCCGTGCGGCTGTTTCCCTTTCTCTGCGATTTTCAGCATCTCTGTTGTCTTCTGTTCCCAGACCGGCTCCCAAGTCAAAACTATTGCAAAGACACCCAGGGAAAACTGGCCATTACCAGAAGAGAATGTAAACAAATGCTGCTCCGGGTTCTGAAAAGAACAAGAAGTAAACTTAGGAGAAAATATTCACATCAATATGAGTATTAGTTACAAGATATTATTAATATAATATTAGAGCAGTTAAGAGTGATTGAAGTGATACAAAGAATTGTTAACAATGATATTTGAGTAAATAATGAGTTAGACACCTCCAACGACTGCTGATTCTGGGGCCCGCTGGAGATGGTAGACATGGAGCCATTGTCAGCACTAAACAAAGGACACATATTTTGAAGTTATGTGCTGACATGGACTACAGGAGTATCTCTACATTTAATATTCAAATGCAAGAAATAAATCAGCCCTAGAATCAAAACAAATGATGGGTCCCAAGTGAATTTTTTTCATGAAAAACACATTAATCCACTGCATTCAGAGCCCCATCGTGCAACTGTATAATTATTTACTAACCTCCTCTCTTCCAGCAACTCCTCAATAAAACCTGAGTCACATCGAGGACATGTATAATCCTGTAGCAACACAAATAAGTGAACAGAACAAAGTATTATATATGGTATATGGGTTTATGGACATAATGTATAATGTACAGTATTGACAAAATCTCACTGAGACCACTGTACATTTAGCTATTGTTCAATCTTCGAGTAGGTGAAACCGAAAGCTTCTCTGTCATTGTCGCAAAAGCAGTTGTTTGACAGATCATTCTGGTCACTGACAACAATCCCTCAGTTAGAGAACATAGAACAGCAAAACAATGCCTCATATAACTATGTAAAGTTTATGAACACCATATAATGCTCCTTCAAAATATAAACAGTCAAACGATTACCACTGTTTAGACAACAGAAAACACATGCGAACATGATCCCTTTCTGACAGACGACACACATGACGACAGTAACGCTAGGTTACATAGTGACATGTTAGCCGAGGATAAAGCAGGCTAAAGCAGGCTTAACTGTTGAGTAAAAAGGTATTCATGAGATAACAGGTGATCGGACATATGCTATGAATACCAATAAATATAAACAACTCTGCAAAAAAGCGGTTAGTTTATATGATGCATTAAGCTTTATATTAAGATAACAATCTTCGTTAAAATGGCTAGCATTAGCATTAGCATTAGCACAGGAGCTGCTGCTGCAGTGTTGACCTCTCTGCCACAGGGAGCTCTGGCTCCTGGATGGACGGATGGCCACAGTCAGAACCCCCACATCCACTCATCAGCTGGGTTAAACCAAAGAAACTCACGGGAAGTCGAGGACTGATCTCTGCAGAGCATCTATGACAGAAAAACCGGCTGGGCCATGGAGGAGCTTCAGCCATCTTTATCACTGCACACAGCGGCGCTACGGCTACCGCGAAGGACCATTCTGGTACTGCAACAACCATGTGACCATTCTACATGTTTATATTGTTATTCTAATACATAGTTCCCACATGACGTCACTACATACGGGGATTTGCCGACCCGGCGCCATTTGTGTTGGCATGCTGTGGGCAAAACAATAGAAAAAGAAGCTGAAACGTGTTAATGTCGTGATAAAGTTGAAAATGGTCATCTCCTGCTGGGTCAATGGATGTTCTAATCGTGCCGGAGGTTCCGTTAAACTTGGATTTTACAGTATACCCCATCATTAGACTTCATGAATGTGAGAAGACTAAGCTTTTGTCAGAACAACCACGGAGGTTATGGTTTGCGAAGATAAACAGGCAAGAAACTCCCTCAAAACACGCAAGAATATGCTCGGAGCACTTTGTGTCAGGTGCGTATCGTATCTCATAATGTGTTGACAGACGTAATTTACTCAGTACTAACTTGTGTATGCTGATATCTGGTAACTTGAGAGTTTCATTATTTAGCGTTAGATTACTTTATTATGAGGAGGATCGGTGTCGCGTCCGAGGCTCTCGAGGGCAACGTAAATGTATTAAATAGATAATAATAGTTCTATGGTGGGCTAAAACAATGTTCACAAACAGCATTGCTTCTGTAAAAAGATCTGTGTCATAAAATAAACTGCTCTTTACGCCTGGAAAAATCAGTTGCCCACCATTCACCAAAACATACGGTCAAAAACGCGGAAATAAACAATAACAGCAATCCAGAGTGTCCGTGTGGCATTAGCATTAATTAAATTAATTGTTAATATAATTAAAATAATTAAATGGAGCTCCAACTGGTATTAAATCTAAAGTTTTTGAGAAATGTTTGCATTGCTTGTTAATTTTTGCTGCATAATTTGATCAAATATGTAAAACATGTCCGTAGCACGTTAAACACCGCGGTAAAGTGGGCCGCATCTTTCACCTCCGAAGTAAAACGGCCCGCATCGAGAGAAAAGCAGTGCGCGTTTTGTTGACTGCTTACGGTAATAGCAGAACAGCCTTTCGCAGTCAGCTTTTCTCCTCGAACAGAAAGCGCGCTTAGGAGACTCGTTTTGTGAATAAACCCTTATTTGGAAAAGCATGTAAAAACTTAAAATGTTCGACATTTAATTTGGTCAAAAAGTGAAATTTTCAGCTGCTGTCCATTTTTACAGTAAAGACTTGAGTATCTTATTCCACTGGGTGTATTCTCGAGGTCGGCGTTACGTCACGAATCATGTGACCTGCGTAGCAACCAACCGCCGCCATGTTTGAAGGGTAAAACAAACCGAAGGCGAATCCAAAAGGTATCTATTTACATATGTTTTGCCGTGGATTATGTCAGTTATGGATACTAACGGACAACTTTGAATTATTGATGAATGATATCTGTGTATGCGAATGTATGTTGGTGGTGTAAACATTCAGGGCTTGCTTAGCTGGAGGCAGGAATCTAAATTCCTATCTATTTCCATTGTAGCTGTTGTCATAGTAACAATAAAGAAATGTCTAACTGTTGTTGGAAATATCAGATAAACCTTATTTTATTAACGCAAATGTCATTCCTCTTGTTCTTGCACCTTAAGCCACAACAGGACCACCTTTTTCAGTTGTAGTTTTACACTTATAATCGCCAGTTTTAGTTTACATTCACTCCATACATGTGAGATTAAACACTCATGTAAAGCGCTTTGTGACTAGCTACATGTCTGTGAAAGGCACTATATGAATACAGATCTTCTTCTTCTATTGCAGCATGTCATATCAGTATATTGACAGTCTCCTAGCGCCTGCATTGACCAGGTACCACTAGCCTGGTTTTACCATACCCTCATACTTGTTTCGTACAGAGGGTACATCCCGGGAAAAAAAGATTTGACCGGAGTTTACGGATGGCAAAGGCCAGGCTAAGGTACCACAGAAAGCTGTCGCTTGTAGGTTTACAATCTTGTCCCTATCGGCATCCAGCAGAGTCCTGGGAAAACAACCCAAAGGCATGGCCCAGGCTCGAGTATCCAGACATATACAATTACCTCATCAAGTCCCCTGGTATGAACACCATGTGTACATACCATGTGTCCTACACTTGTAGTAATATTTAAATACCCATCAAGCATCGATAACATTAACTATGTTATGACATTCAAAAGCATTCTGTTACAATGTGGCTGTAATGAGCTCAGTCTGTCAGTGGCACAGCTTGTACAGTGTAAGTGAGGGACACAGTTTTTTCAAAAGCCAAAAAAGGCTAACTGCAGAAATTCCACTTATTCCCCACACAACTAGTGCATTTCATTGTTGCTTATCGGTGTAGAGCTGCCGACCATTATGCATAGCGATGTCATAACATAGCAACAGAAAACAGTGGCATGGCATTGGTATTATTTTGTTATTCTTTGATTTGCCCCTCAATGTGTCCATTCATTTGAGATTACATTTCTATTTAAATTTTAAAGTAAAATGGCATACCCTCTATTCACACTTTTTATGACCGGTTATTTTTTGCAATAACCAGTCATCAGATTACATTTTATTATATTATATATGTAGTGTCTAACGACAACAGCAAGACTTTAACATTTCTAATGAGAAATAGTTTATTAGACATTGTATAAGTAGAAATACTAAAAGACGTGAAGATTGACATGAAAACATTTGTATCATTTACTTGCAATTTGTCAGTGTTTTTGCTCTGGTCAATTGTCACTCTCCTAGATGTGATATGTTAATGTATAAAAATAAAATTATTTCCCTTTCTTCATTTTCTTTTGTTTCAGGTGTATTTAGTATTATGATGGTGGAGACCGAATCATTGCTGATTTTGTCAATGCCTAATTCCGTCTGCTGCAGGTCTTGCATTTCCATGCAGGGTGTTGACACTTCTTGTTGCAACTCTTCTGGGACACTTGTCTCCTCAAATTCCAGTTGCTTCTTCACCTTCCTTTCCTTTCGTGATACTAGAGTAGTGGATGGTGCTGAAAAAAATAGATAAAAGGTATATATTTTGCAAATGATCACAGAAATTTTAAGTCATGGCCTCATATTTATAATAATAATAATAATGCATCAGTTTTATGTAGTGCTTTTCTGGACACTCAAAGACGCTTAACATTGCACTATTCATTCACTCCATACTTGGTGGTGGTAAGCAACTATTATAGCCACAGCTGCCCTGGGGTAGACTGACTGAAGCGAGGCGACCAGTCTGCGCCATCGGCCCCTCCGACCACCACCAACCACTCACTCACTCGGCTTCCTGGTGTTACTAAACGGCAGTATATTTAGTATTGAGTTGGATTGGGACGATAAGTCATAATAGTCGACTATGACTAGAAAGCAGCGACCAGTAGACTAGTTTTGTACTATAAATACCATCTTACCAAGAATTTCCAGGCTAGGCATTATGTACAAAAATCTGCATGACTAGTTACTTTGTAGATGCAATGACTTTTTCATACAGGAGGTAATTTTGTTTTCAAGGAAAATACATTTGTTAGCAAAATCTGTATTTTTACACAGATTACCATTTTTGTAGCAGTTAACCTCCCAAGTACTACTTTTTCAAATTGGTCATTAGAAATCAACATGTATTTTTTATTTATGTATTTCATATGGGGGACAACATTCTATTTCACAAGGTGCTTGTATCAATTGTTGTACACAACCTCATTGCAATATGGAATCTTTTAATTCTTAACTGTGCATTGGAAATGCAGCTCATTATCTGCAGGTACGGTTTTACTGCAGTGTAAAATAAGAGCAATAAACACAATTTGCTACTATATATATGTCTGCATAAACAAAATCGACTGCAATTTGTTAGTTTTAAATTTCAAGTGTTGTGTCAAACAAATTCAGATAATTTTTGGTCATTGATCTAGGAGCAAACTAGATGCATGTTGATCACACTACAGTTTGATGGTTTTTTTTCTGTTAACGATAGGGTACTGTGGGTAGCAAACTTACCTTTTCTTTTCTGTGCTCTCTTGAAGCGATCAAGTGTGGTACTCTTAGTCAATTCCTTCAGCACTGCTTGCGGGAAAATGGACGGAGTGTAATCTGGGTATGCGGGGTTGTTGTTCTTCTTTCCTGTTCAAGGAGCAAAGTGACAAAATCTAAAGATTCCCACTGAGTAGCTCCAAGCCAGCTGGAGCCATTTCTCTCTCCTTTCTGGCTCAGTTGCCTCGCTAGGGATCATGTAAAAGGATAGGTCACTCCTTTTTACGCTGTTGTTGGTACAACCAACAATACAACAGTTTTTCGGCATGTTTTGTAACGCTCGTTTGTCTTTCGCTTCGTGTTGCTTAATGGCGGGCGCTGGTTTGTTTTACCCTTCGCCGCGTTGCTATGCGCGCGCAGTGCATTATGGGAGTCCAAGTTCCCGGATGTCCGACCTCGAGAATGACCTCACCACTGCCTTCACCGCTGTGCCTACAACCACAAACCTTTACTTTGGAAATTGTGGGTAAAATTGAGACAAATTACACGTTTTAGTCCAAAATACACAAAACTAAGAAAATTCCCACCTTTGATCTACTGTAACTTTTTTACTGTAAAAAGGTGTGAGACTAATTTCACTGGATTCATGACCTCAACATTGCCCTCTACCACTGTACCAAAGACAAGAAACATTTACTGTAGAAATTTTGAGAAATACTGATTTAAAGAAGCCATTTTGGTCCAAAATACCTCCAAAATAGTCAAAACATGTCATTTTTGATCTACTGTATCTTCTTACTGTAAAAAGGTGTGCGACTAATTTCACTGGATTCATGACCTCAACATTGCCCTCTACCACTGTACCAAAGACCAGACACTTTTACTGTAGAAATATTGAGAAATATTGATTTAAAGTAGCCATTTTGGTCCAAAATACCCCCAAAATAGTCAAAACATGTCACTTTTGATCTACTGTAACTTTTTACTGTAAAAAGGTGTGCAACTAATTTCACTGGATTCATGACCTCATGATTGCCCTCTACCACTGTACCAAAGACCAGAAACTTTTACTGTAGAAATTTGGAGAAATATGGAGTTAAAGTAGCCATTTTGGTCCAAAATAGCCTAAAAATGGTCAAAACATGTCACTTTTGATCTACTGTAACTTTTTACTGTAAAAAGGTGTGCGACTAATTTCACTGGATTCACGACCTCATGATTGCCCTCTACCACTGTACCAAAGACCAGAAACTTTTACTGTAGAAATTTGGAGAAATATGGAGTTAAAGTAGCCATTTTGGTCCAAAAATATCCTAAAAATGGTCAAAACATGTCACTTTTGATCTACTGTATCTTCTTACTGTAAAAAGGTGTGCGACTAATTTCACTGGATTCATGACCTCAACATTGCCCTCTACCACTGTACCAAAGACCAGACACTTTTACTGTAGAAATATTGAGAAATATTGATTTAAAGTAGCCATTTTGGTCCAAAATAGCCTAAAAATGGTCAAAACATGTCACTTTTGATCTACTGTAACTTTTTACTGTAAAAAGGTGTGCGACTAATTTCACTGGATTCACGACCTCATGATTGCCCTCTACCACTGTACCAAAGAGCAGGAACGTTTACTGTAGAAATCTGGAGAAATATGGAGTTATAAGTAGCCATTTTGGTCCAAAATAGCCTAAAAATGGTCAAAACATGTCACTTTTGATCTACTGTATCTTCTTACTGTAAAAAGGTGTGCGACTAATTTCACTGGATTCATGACCTCATGATTGCCCTCTACCACTGTACCAAAGACCAGAAACTTTTACTGTAGAAATTTGGAGAAATATGGAGTTAAAGTAGCCATTTTGGTCCAAAAATATCCTAAAAATGGTCAAAACATGTCACTTTTGATCTACTGTATCTTCTTACTGTAAAAAGGTGTGCGACTAATTTCACTGGATTCATGACCTCAACATTGCCTTCTACCACTGTACCAAAGACCAGAAACTTTTACTGTAGAAATTTGGAGAAATATGGAGTTAAATTAGCCATTTTGGTCCAAAATAGCCTAAAAATTGTCAAAACATGTCACTTTTGATCTACTGTAACTTTTCACTGTAAAAAGGTGTGCGACTAATTTCACTGGATTCATGACCTCATGATTGCCCTCTACCACTGTACCAAAGAACAGGAACTTTTACTGTAGAAATATTGAGAAATATTGATTTAAAGTAGTCATTTTGGTCCAAAATAGCCTAAAAATGGTCAAAACATGTCACATTTGATCTACTGTAACTTATTACTGTAAAAAGGTGTGCGACTAATTTCACTGGATTCATGACCTCATGATTGCCCTCTACCACTGTACCAAAGAGCAGGAACGTTTACTGTAGAAATCTGGAGAAATATGGAGTTATAAGTAGCCATTTTGGTCCAAAATAGCCTAAAAATGGTCAAAACATGTCACTTTTGATCTACTGTATCTTCTTACTGTAAAAAGGTGTGCGACTAATTTCACTGGATTCATGACCTCATGATTGCCCTCTACCACTGTACCAAAGACCAGAAACTTTTACTGTAGAAATTTGGAGAAATATGGAGTTAAAGTAGCCATTTTGGTCCAAAAATAGCCTAAAAATGGTCAAAACATGTCACTTTTGATCTACTGTAACTTTTTACTGTAAAAAGGTGTGCGACTAATTTCACTGGATTCATGACCTCACGATTGCCCTCTACCACTGTACCAAAGAACAGGAACTTTTACTGTAGAAATTTGGAGAAATATGGAGTTAAAGTAGCCATTTTGGTCCAAAATAGCCTAAAAATGGTCAAAACATGTCACTTTTGATCTACTGTAACTTATTACTGTAAAAAGGTGTGCGACTAATTTCACTGGATTCATGACCTCAACATTGCCCTCTACCACTGTACCAAAGACCAGAAACTTTTACTGTAGAAATTTGGAGAAATATGGAGTTAAAGTAGCCATTTTGGTCCAAAATAGCCTAAAAATGGTCAAAACATGTCACTTTTGATCTACTGTAACTTTTTACTGTAAAAAGGTGTGCGACTAATTTCACTGGATTCACGACCTCATGATTGCCCTCTACCACTGTACCAAAGACCAGAAACTTTTACTGTAGAAATTTGGAGAAATATGGAGTTAAAGTAGCCATTTTGGTCCAAAAATATCCTAAAAATGGTCAAAACATGTCACTTTTGATCTACTGTATCTTCTTACTGTAAAAAGGTGTGCGACTAATTTCACTGGATTCATGACGTCAACATTGCCTTCTACCACTGTACCAAAGACCAGAAACTTTTACTGTAGAAATTTGGAGAAATATGGAGTTAAATTAGCCATTTTGGTCCAAAATAGCCTAAAAATTGTCAAAACATGTCACTTTTGATCTACTGTAACTTTTCACTGTAAAAAGGTGTGCGACTAATTTCACTGGATTCATGACCTCATGATTGCCCTCTACCACTGTACCAAAGAACAGAAACTTTTACTGTAGAAATATTGAGAAATATTGATTTAAAGTAGTCATTTTGGTCCAAAATAGCCTAAAAATGGTCAAAACATGTCACATTTGATCTACTGTAACTTATTACTGTAAAAAGGTGTGCGACTAATTTCACTGGATTCATGACCTCATGATTGCCCTCTACCACTGTACCAAAGACCAGGAACTTTTACTGTAGAAATCTGGAGAAATATGGAGTTAAAGTAGCCATTTTGGTCCAAAATAGCCTAAAAATGGTCAAAACATGTCACTTTTGATCTACTGTATCTTCTTACTGTAAAAAGGTGTGCGACTAATTTAACTGGATTCATGACCTCAACATTGCCCTCTACCACTGTACCAAAGACCAGGAACTTTTACTGTAGAAATATTGATTTAAAGTAGTCATTTTGGTCCAAAATAGCCTAAAAATGGTCAAAACATGTCACTTTTGATCTACTGTAACTTTTTACTGTAAAAAGGTGTGCGACTAATTTCACTGGATTCATGACCTCATGATTGCCCTCTACCACTGTACCAAAGAACAGGAACTTTTACTGTAGAAATATTGATTTAAAGTAGTCATTTTGGTCCAAAATAGCCTAAAAATGGTCAAAACATGTCACTTTTGATCTACTGTAACTTATTACTGTAAAAAGGTGTGCGACTAATTTCACTGGATTCATGACCTCATGATTGCCCTCTACCACTGTACCAAAGACCAGGAACTTTTACTGTAGAAATATTGAGAAATATTGAGGTAAAGTAGCCATTTTGGTCCAAAATGGCTACTTATAACTCCATATTTCTCCAGATTTCTACAGTAAAAGTTCCTGGTCTTTGGTACAGTGGTAGAGGGCAATGTTGAGGTCATGAATCCAGTTAAATTAGTCGCACACCTTTTTACAGTAAGAAGATACAGTAGATCAAAAGTGACATGTTTTGACCATTTTTAGGCTATTTTGGACCAAAATGGCTACTTTAAATCAATATTTCTCCAAATTTCTACAGTAAAAGTTCCTGGTCTTTGGTACAGTGGTAGAGGGCAATGTTGAGGTCATGAATCCAGTGAAATTAGTCGCACACCTTTTTACAGTAAGAAGATACAGTAGATCAAAAATTACATGTTTTGACTATTTTGGAGGTATTTTGGACCAAAATGGCTTCTTTAAATCAGTATTTCTCAAAATTTCTACAGTAAATGTTTCTTGTCTTTGGTACAGTGGTAGAGGGCAATTTAAGCTCATGAGTCAAGTGAAATTAGTCGCACACCTTATTCCAGTAAATAGTTACAATACTTGAAAATTGCACTAGCGGACCAAATTGTGTACTTTATATATGTAAACAATAGAGTGGCTATCCTCCTGAGGACTCACAATCTGCCGGAGGAATCGTAGGGGGCTGGTGCTATGTGTACCGGGTGTCATCTCTATAAGGTTTAAATCACAAAAACGTGTCTCCCAGACCCCAGCGCGCTTTCTGTTCGATAAAAATGGGTGACTCCGAAAGGACGTTCCGCTGTTACCGTAAGTTCTCAACAAAACGCGCACCGTCTTTTCCCCGATGCGGCCCGCATGTTCATAGAGCTGAAAGATGCGGGCCACTTTACCGCGGTCGTTAAACTGTGGTGCCATTGTATTAATATACAA